CTTAGCACGTGATTCTGAGCACAATAACAAACTCGTCTCTATCAACTGTGCTGTACATGTGATTCTGAGCACAATAACAAACTCGTCTCTATCAACTGTGCTGTACATGTGATTCTGAGCACAATAACAAACTCGTCTCTATCAACTGTGCTGTACATGTGATTCTGAGCACAATAACAAACTCGTCTCTATCAACTGTGCTGTACATGTGATTCTGAGCACAATAACAAACTCGTCTCTATCAACTGTGCTGCTGTACATGTGCATGTAGGTGTAGGCTCCAGCCCGCGGTGCCGTGCGCTCTTCAGTTGCCATGGGTACTGCCCTTCTGAGCACAGCAACCATGGCAACTCCGGGCATGGCACCGCAGGTGTCGGAAGGTGTTTTGGGGTGGTACGGTCAGCCATCTGACGTGCAATTGAATTTTACGTGTATGTGTGTGTGTGGGGGGGGGGGGGGGGGTAGGCATCTTTGACATATTTCGATATGTACATGTAGAGCCAACATCGATGCCTAGTTTATTGATTCACAGGGTAAAACCCGGGGCAAAGAGTGGTGCGGTCAATACCGTAGTGACCGCAGCCTGCACGACGCCCCTGCATGGTAGCCGTAGAAACTGCCGGCAGTTCGCAATGCAGCGACCGTGCGTAGATCTCAGCGTATACCACGGCGTACAGTTGAACCAAGATCGATGATGTCGCTCAACAACTACATGAGCTGAGAGCTGCCACCTTTTTTAGTTTACCATTTAAAAAAAAAAAGTTATATGTGGCGAAGTACAGTCTCGGCCCAAAAAATCCGCCCCACGCGCCGAAAGCAGCGCCATGGCTCATGCGTCCCCTGCGGTCCTCGGATGTTGTCGTTGTTGTTTTTTTCGGACCGTGCATGAAAAGTAGAAATGGCAACGCGGCGCTGACTTTTGACTCATGGATAGGATTTCTTCGCGGCCACAATTGTACTTGAAGTTTTGTTGATCGGCACAGGAAGGAAGGCAGATGCAATATTTGACTGCCAGGGCACCTGCTAGCAACGCACCCTGGCCAGTGAAGCCCGGAGGCATCCTGACAAAGGAGGTGTCCGCATCACCCAGGTTCTATGCAGAATAGGCACGCAGACTTCTGTGCACATGCTGTGATTTTTGTCCCACACGTCATGCAATAATTTTTTGCAGGATTGTTCACCACGTTCACACCGCCAGGGACTACTATACTACATGTACATGTAGTACTAGAAAATGTTCAGTTTAGCACTCCCTTTAGCACTCCCTGGTTCCCTGGTTCACACTCTCACCTTCTTCTATGCGTGCCTGCCGTGTGCGCAGCCAGCGGCAGCGATGTCGATGTACAGAATTAGAACGGTTCGTAGCGCCCTATGCACGCGGTACTCCCGGCCAGGGATACCCGCTCTACCCGCGGTCACAACACTGGTCCAGTACCTCCTCTCGCTGCAGCAGCTTGACGCTGACTGCACTAACCAGATTGCCTACACACGGACGTCGGTCCAGCTAGGCAGTTGATCAACGAGTAGATTCACATACGAATTATCATGATTATTTTCATTGTAAATTGTTACCGCTAATTATTGAATCATAGCTAGCCAGCTAGCGCCGCGCTATCCTCGCGTGATCATGGTGATCAGTGGTGATGGAAAGCAGGAGCGAGTAGCCGGGGGGGGGGGGGGTGGGGGGGGCTGCAAACAACGAAATTCGTAAGATTTCGACCGTCAGGGTTCGAGTAACGAAAGTAATGAACGAAGATCCGTCCAAACCAGGGAGCCCTAGCCTGGGCATAGTCATACTGTATGCGTAGGGCTCTCTGCTAATCACCATGCTGTACACACACCCTCTCATCCGGGTCACTAAACACCATGCTGTACACACACCGTCTCAACCAGGTCACTAATCACCATGCTGTACACACACCCTCTCAACCAGGTCACTAATCACCATGCTGTACACACACCGTCTCAACCGGGTCACTAATCACCATGCTGTACACACACCCTCTCAACCAGGTCACTAATCACCATGCTGTACACACACCCTCTCAACCGGGTCACTAATCACCATGCTGTACACACACCCTCTCAACCAGGTCACTAATCACCATGCTGTACACACACCCTCTCAACCAGGTCACTAATCACCATGCTGTACACACACCCTCTCAACCGGGTCACTAATCTACACACACCCTCTCAACCAGGTCACTAATCACCATGCTGTACACACACCCTCTCAACCGGGTCACTAATCACCATGCTGTACACACACCCTCTCAACCGGGTCACTAATCACCATGCTGTACACACACCCTCTCAACCAGGTCACTAATCACCATGCTGTACACACACCCTCTCAACCGGGTCACTAATCACCATGCTGTACACACACCCTCTCAACCGGGTCACTAATCACCATGCTGTACACACACCTTCTCAACCGGGTCACTAATCACCATGCTGTACACACACCCTCTCAACCGGGTCACTAATCACCATGCTGTACACACACCCTCTCAACCGGGTCACTAATCACCATGCTGTACACACACCCTCTCAACCGGGTCACTAATCACCATGCTGTACACACACCCTCTCAACCGGGTCACTAATCACCATGCTGTACACACACCCTCTCAACCGGGTCACTAATCACCATGCTGTACACACACCCTCTCAACCGGGTCACTAATCACCATGCTGTACACACACCCTCTCAACCGGGTCACTAATCACCATGCTGTACACACACCCTCTCAACCAGGTCACTAATCACCATGCTGTACACACACCCTCTCAACCGGGTCACTAATCACCATGCTGTACACACACCCTCTCAACCGGGTCACTAATCACCATGCTGTACACACACCCTCTCAACCAGGTCACTAATCACCATGCTGTACACACACCCTCTCAACCAGGTCACTAATCACCATGCTGTACACACACCCTCTCAACCGGGTCACTAATCACCATGCTGTACACACACCCTCTCAACCAGGTCACTAATCACCATGCTGTACACACATCCTCTCAACCGGGTCACTAATCACCATGCTGTACACACACCCTCTCAACCAGGTCACTAATCACCGTGCTGTACACACACCCTCTCAACCAGGTCACTAATCACCATGCTGTACACACACCCTCTCAACCGGGTCACTAATCACCATGCTGTACACACACCCTCTCAACCAGGTCACTAATCAGCATGCTGTACACACATCCTCTCAACCGGGTCACTAATCACCATGCTGTACACACACCGTCTCAACCAGGTCACTAATCACCATGCTGTACACACACCCTCTCAACCGGGTCACTGTGTGTCGTGCGCAAAAGAACAGCACATGCAGGCCACTGTAACAATCTCAATGTCCACGTGAAAACGAGAGAGTCACACCCCCTCCTTTTCCCAAGATGAATGAATCTAGGGCGAGAGATTTGCAGTTTGAAAATACCATGTGGCAGTGCTTTAGGAAAGTAGAAATCATTTTATATAAATGGGTGCCTTGGAAATTGCGGTGCCTTGAAAAATGAAATAAAAGGTGCTTTGAAAATAGAAGTACGAAGGCAAAGAGACAGTAAAAATGAAAAGCAAGTGCAGGAATAAAAAACGAGCAGAATGTGATTACGCATACCGGTTCAACCGGCAACAGCAATTATTTGTGAAAATGGCTGCTGTGAAAATTGCACTTCCTTAGAAAAATTAAAGAAGTTGCCATTTGAAAAAGCATTGCAAAAAAGTGAAAAAGGGCAGCCAAAGTGAAAAAGGATAGGCAGAAATGAGGCCGCGCAGAAGCTGATAATTCTATGAGCATACCGGTTCAACCGGAAAAGAATTTTTACAACATTTTCCGCTATTCGACATGATGACGTCGGACTAGTGCACTGCTTTTCCAGCAGTGTCTAAGCTCAAATAGTCAAATACGGACCTAAAGCGAGGTTCTAAGTCACAGAGATAGAATGTAGAGATATATTATGTTTTTGAGAATAAAAAGAAATTGAATGACAATTCAACACAACTCAGACAATCTATCTAGACTCTACACATGGGTCAGGTACTGTGCACGGAGCGAAGGGCACGCGCGGGGAAATCCAGCATTCTGGTTCCGTGCCACTTTGCCCCAGCACGCGGGGCCCATGGTGCTGCACTGCTAAGAAGTGAAAAAAATACTTTGTGATCATGTACCAATAAAAGGAGCTAGGTAGAAGCTAAGGGAGAGCAGTCTCTAGCGAGTCATGTAGCAATTGAAAGGCCGAGAAGAAGAAGAAGAAGAAAAAGAAGAAGAAGAAAGGCATACTCAAAGGATGTAGTGCTTACGATAGCGAATGCAGCAGGCAAATGAAGAATATCGCGACTTAATGAGTGAGTGGGCGCGGGAGACTGGGTGAGAGCGAAAGCAAGCGAGAGTGAGAGAAAGTGAAGGAGAGAGCTCAGTCTAGAGTCTGAGGTGAAGCAGAAAAACGGACAGAAAGACGTACCGGCAGACAGACAGAAGGACTCACAGGAAGAGAGAGAAAGACAGACAGCCCAAAAAATTCTCGCCGCGATTCAGTGTTGATCAATCATGGCCACCATCACCATCACCACCATCATCCTGTGTCCATACACAAGAAAACAACAAGACGCAGTAATAACTAATTGTACTACACGTACACAGGGCAGAACAATAGAGACCAAAAATCCTTCTCGTGATTCCGAGTTTCGTGTTTCAAAAAACACTCATCAGACGAATGATGAGTATTTTTTGAAACACGAAAATCGGAGTCACGAGAAGGATTTTTGGTCTCTGTTGTTCTGCCCTGTATGGTAAGCTCTGCCGTTTTTTGAGGTATTGAGCAGTGTTTGCAGCAAAGACTACAGACACTTTGTGTACTGCATGTACAGTAAAACCTGGTGTAAGCGACCTCTGGTTTTAGCCACCACCTGCTCTTTAACGACCGTTTTTCCATGCACGGACAGCTCTACACTGAACCTGTTGGACCTGGTTCTAACGACCACCTGGCTTTAACGACCGCTTTCGCTTGCACCGTGGTACCGTGGGGTGGTGCTTGCACCGTGGTACCGTGGGGTGGTCCTTGCACCGTGGTACCGTGGGGTGGTGCTTGCACCGTGGTACCGTGGGGTGGTGCTTGCACTGTGGTACCGTGGGGTGGTGCTTGCACCGTGGTACCGTGGGGTGGTGCTTGCACCGTGGTACCGTGGGGTGGTGCTTGCACCGTGGTACCGTGGGGTGGTGCTTGCACCGTGGTACCGTGGGGTGGTGCTTGCACCGTGGTACCGTGGGGTGGTGCTTGCACCGTGGTATCATGGGGTGGTGCTTGCACCGTGGTACCGTGGGGTGGTGCTTGCACCGTGGTACCGTGGGGTGGTGCTTGCACCGTGGTACCGTGGGGTGGTGCTTGCACCGTGGTACCGTGGGGTGGTGCTTGCACCGTGGTACCGTGGGGTGGTGCTTGCACCGTGGTATCATGGGGTGGTGCTTGCGCCGTGGTACCGTGGGGTGGTCGCTTAAATCAGGTTATACTGTACAGTGATGGCAACTGAAATCCGACCCCTGACTTTCATGCTCGAGTGCGGCGCCGATTCTATAGTGCGTTTCAAGAATCCCTAGACTTTTTCACATAATTCAAATTCGGTTGGAGCTTTTTCAGAAATTTCTTCGGGATATTGCTGTGGCAGCTCCCCCAATGTTACTCATATTTTAATTCGAAACCTACTAACTTTCTAGGCGATTGGATAACACACGTCCATTTTCGGTAAATTGTTATGCACAAAATGATCACAGATTATGAGGTATAAATGCTGGCCTAAGGTTCTTTTTTGAAACCAGAGGTCAATACTTTTGAACACACAGTAGCGGTCTCTTGGCAGTGTAGAAACGTGTGCTGGTTTGTTTTTGGAATCAATGTGAGTGCACCGAGGTGAGGTCGGATTTCAGTCGCCACCATTGTACTGAGTATTAGAGCGGGACAGCCATGAAGTGAACAACACAACAATGTATACTGTACACTGCATGGCAAATTTCTTTTTTTAAATTCACGGTTCGAGTCAGACTCGGCTAGAGGCCGAGTTTTCCGCATCCGTAGGAACGCCACCACCCTTCAAGGATCAAGGCGCAGATGCAGCTCCCGAAGCGGTGGGGGTGAGGAGATCAGCTCACCAGCAAAGTGGTCAAAGACCGAAAATCCCATTCACTGACAACTGAGACGACAATTTCAGTCATGCCCTGTTACCAGGGATACCGCACAAAGCCAAAGGCTTGACCCTCAATGCGATAATAAATTATACACATACGTATGAGCGGTTTTCTAGGACACAACAATGCTATCAGACAGGAGAACAGAATGGTCTCCAAGAAGCAACATGTCAAAATGCCGCTTACACGGCCAGCCCTATGAATCTTTTTGCCGGAAAAAGACAGTTATTGCAATCCCCGACGCCGTCCAGCCTCTCGACTGTCAGCAGTGTACACTCATGTACTGTTTTACTACTGGCATTGCGTAATGTGCGGACAGACTGGCGAGAAACAACAACTCGCAACCAAGTGGAAACAAAGCGGTTGCTTTGGATAGGGGAGAGCCGCACAGATACAAACATCTGTATAATATAAACCAGGCTGTGCACGAGGGAGTGAGACTCGGAAAGTCTCTCGGCTCCA